CCTATTTGAAACGGGCCAAATCTGGGCTTCTGCTGAAGGAAGCATAACTTGTGATTTATCCCAGCTGTGAGTCAGAGGTTCCTGTTTCCACCTGTTCTAGGTTCTGATGTCATTTAGTGTCGTGGTCAGATGCAACACTGACTCAGGATATTGTAAACCCCTTGTCCTCCCTCCCTTCCATCAAATAACTGTATCTAATTTAATCATCTTATTGTGTTATTGTGCTTTTAATAGCATTTGTATTGACAAACTTGCCAGGGAAATATTACTACAAAGTCCCATGGATCCTAGTTAGGTGTAGAATTTAGCTGTGAGGGTTTTTACTTATTAACTTAAACATCAACAATGTTGTGGTCAAAATGAGAGCAACTGTTAGATATCTTACGGTATTTAAAAAGCGATCTGAAATATGCTGGAAACATATTTGTTAAAAGGTTTTAAATAATCTATTTTACATGAGTGGACAAATCTAACATGCACCAAAGAAATCATGTAATAGTTCCCAGCAGAAGAATTTTACCAACAGACGTTTCTTTAAAGGAATAGTACACCCAAAACTTTTATGAAAGGTCCATAAAAGTCCACAAAAAACGTGTCAATATTCCTCCATACTGCTCGTCCAATGTATTCCAAGTGTCCTGAGTGGGTAGCATCCAGAATTTACTCGAAACAAAGTCATTTAGAATGTTTTTAGAGCATAAACAGTAGTGTATAGTATTTCCTGAAAGCGCGCGCCAGCGCGTTCAGGACGCTACAGAAGCCGGCAGACCAAACCAGATGAAAGTGCGCATTCAGCGTCTGCTCTGCTGATAATGCAAGCGTAGAAGAAGAAATGTGCTGTTTACCTGTGCAAAGAAAGAAACAACGAAAGAAAAATGTCTGAGGACTTCAGTGTTGAGGAAGAGCAGGAGTTCTTTGCCGAGCTGAATGCGCACTTTCATCTGGTTTGGTCTGCCGCGGTTTCCGTAGACTGGTGAATGCGCTTTTAGGAAATACTATACACTACTGTTTATGCTCTAAAAACATTCTAAATTACTTCGTTTCGAGTAAATTCTGGATGCTACCCACTCAGGACACTTGGAATACATTGGACGAGCAGCATGGAGGAATATTGACACGTTTTTGTGGACTTTTATGGACCTTTCTGTCTCGGGCACAATAGACCTCCATTATTTGAATGTCAGCAGACAGCAAGAAGCCTCCCAGATCTCCAGATGCATTTGAGATATCAAAAAAGTACTCCAGGGTGTTGTTCAGCATGGGGGTGAGTAGAAAATGAAGGCTAATCATGTTTTGGGTGTACTATTCCTTTAAGGCTGATGTCGATTTCTTTGACATCTTTTTAAAAGACTCCTGATGGATGCTGCAACTTCTTTTGGCCCAATTTATAAAGCCAATATACACACAAATAACACATTGCCAAAAACTGTTACACACCTTTCTATTAAAAAAAAAGGAAACATTTATCAATAAATCAAACATAACATTAAGAATGGATAGCGAATAGAGGGAGCAAAAATGCATTTGATTCAAGTGATCTCCAGTTTATGGCTGCTGAAAGCTTTAATGTATCGACCCAAGAAAAGATTTAACAGATAATGTACTGGTCTACCTCTAGCTATCTCACCTTTATTTCTCACATAGCGGTACATGAAATAGTGTTTGCGATAATGTTTTTTCTACTTGCCTCTGAGTAAGCTAGAACATTAATTGACACCAAATAAAAATAGTGTGCACCAAAATCCCTGATAATTGACGATACTATTTATAGAGGGTCCTTTTATGATGCCTCAAATTCACTTTGCATGTTGGAGGTCAGATTTTGGAATTACATAACCATTAAATGACACCTAATTTAAGCCGATCCATTTTGCTATTTGGAAAAACAGCAGGATGCTTAACAAGCGATCATGCAAAACATGTAAAGTAGCTCTAGAGAACAACAGAGGATATAATACTAAGGTGTCAGTCATACATACTGTGCATGACACTAATTTTGATGGCTTTGTCGACACTAATGTATGACCAGATGGACGATTTTACTTTAAAACTTGCAGGGTTTTTTCAGAATTTGCAATCTGAAGTTTTTACTGCTAGTCATGTATATAATTTCTGTTATTTGAAAAGAAACAAAAAAAAAATTCTTAGATACTATTCATAATAGTTTTGTGTGCAAATACTTAAAATTAGTTTGAATACACTTCATGGGTGAGAGCTAACAGGTGCCAATTTTGGGACTATTTCTTAGTAAAACAACGGGTAGAGTAGTAGTAGGGACATCTTTTGTATAACTGTATTGATTGACTAGGCCCGACTCTACTTTAAATGATTAAATTTCATTGTGATGTCACTGTCTGGCAAATAAAAATCAATGTGCTGACGTTCCTGAATACTAAATACTTCAGCCTCTCTGCCTCTGTGTCTCTCTGTGTGCATACCGTCTGCTCTTATTCCATCCTCTCATTAATTCTTGTTCCCATCAAGTGTCTCTCTCACTGGCACCTTTGCCAAGAATGAAGTCAGCACACGTGCGTGCATACACACAAGCGGCGCAAATACTTTGCAACACTGTCAGAGGCCCGCACAGTCACGACTCACACTACACAAGCACGCATTCTTCTAGAAATCAAAAGAGACGATGTTAAGAGTGAGAAAAGACTGACACTATGAACACTGCAATCTGAAACTAAACTAAAATTCTAAGGTTAAATACCTTTAAAGCATGTAACAGCGCTTTGTTAAAGATTATGAGGAATATAATGGAATCGCTAGTGTCTAGGGTTTAATTTGGTCCATGTTTTATGTTTTAAAGGGGTATCATCACATTATGTGCCCATACAAAAAAAAGACCCAAAACCATTCTATCATGATAAATTAAGTTTATATACCTCAAACATTTGTCCGTCATGCAATGCCTCATGGTAAAGGGACAGCTCAGCAGGGTTGAGGACCAACTGATAATAATCAAATCTACAGCAACCCTAAGTTCTAGTGAATTCATCCTCAGAGCATCAGAAGAAATATTAAAATGAAATGAGCTGAAAAAAAATATTTTTGAATAACCAAGACTGAAAATATTTGCACTTCACTGCATGAAGGGCAGGTAAAATCCCAACAACTGTCTTCTGGTTCTAATTCTAAAGGGTACTAATTCTCTCTCTCCCCACCTCCTAACCCATTGAAAAGGTATAAATATTAAAAGAAATGCATCAAATCCAAAGCTCAGCTCACATGCAAATGAAGAATAACATCCTGATTTTGGATCTATAAACACAAGAAATCTTTTAGAGTGTATTTATATCTTTGTTTATAAAGGATTCTGCATGACTGAAAACAGTGGTTTGCCATGTCAGTGTAACTTCCAGTCTAGACGCCGGACAGTAATCCTGTACGTACACTTAAATGGCTAAAGAAAGATGGTGTGCACGTTCACTTGTATGTTTGTATCCACCATGAGGAACCAGCAGTGTGTGTGTTTTATAGGCTGCGCTGAGTGATTGATCATAGAGGGCTGACGAAAGCAGGTTACTGCAGCGCTTACACACACATTCATTCCCTCTCTGCATTTTTCATTTCTCTCTCTCCCCACCTCCTTTGTTCCATCTCCATCTTTGCCTTCCCTTCTCCTCCTCCTCCCATCCCTCTTCCAAACCTCTCTCTTTCCTTTCCACCATACATCACTCTCACTCTCCCTGTCCCCACAGCCATCACTCTTGCTCCTTCTGCAGTCTCTGGCTTTGAACTGCTCCATGTCCTCCATACTGTCTATTAGGAAAAAAAGAGCAAATAAAGAAATTCTTGTATTTCCTCTCTCTCTTTCTGTCCTGTTATGCAGAGCCCAGGGGAACAGAGAGATGCTGTCACGTGATTCCTCCCTCTACCTCCTTCTCCTTTATTCCTTCCTCTGTTATTTAGCTGCAGTAGTACTCTACTGCTACTCTAACGAGGGGATTCACTGCTCTCTGAGGGCTTACATGGCCTTTCCATCCATCCATCCATCCATCCATCCATCCATCCATCCATCCATCCATCCATCCATCCATCCATCCATCCATCCATCCATCCATCCATCAATATACATGAAAGGTGCAAAGGGTATGAAAAACATACCTTTCATACACTTCTACATATTCTTGGCATTTTGAGCAACATGACACCACATCTAAGAGAAAAAGAGCCTAAGAACACAGCAACTTAACATTAATTTAACAGTTCTTCTAAAAAGGAAAAGTTTGACATGATAACGTTGCTAAAAGCTGACTCTTTGACATTACATGATCGTCTTGATGGTCAGAATTTAAAGTGAGCACTCAGTAGCGAAGGGGTAAAAGAGGGATGGAGAAAATTTTACTTCTGTCTGCTATTGCCACGACAACAAACCAGCATCCCCTTTTCTTGGAAAAGTGACATTTCACTTTGCCCTGGTTGCTGCTCCCCGCAGGGAGGCTCTGATCCAGCCCCTCTGTACGTGTGTGTGTGTGTTGGTGTGTGTATGTGTGTGTTTACATCCTCATTAAAGAGGATAGTGACTGAGAGGGCGGGAGTGGCCCTGATCACACATGCACACCTTGTCAAACAAGACCTCTGCTGTGGCATAAGTCTGTTTGGTAACAGAGAAAGCCATGAGGTTCAACCCCGAAACCAAAGTTAGAATTACTTAGAATAACAATGAAATAAACAACATTGCAGCATTTAAATAGAAAGCTGTTTGGAGATTAAAACCTCTGATAAACATTTGATAAACAAAATGATTAAATATGAAATCTAGAGTTTTTGCTTTAACTGTTGCACCAATATACAGCAGTGAGCACAACTGGTAGATGTTTCCCTTTACGAAAGAAAAAAAATACTAATTGAACCAAACAGACATAACAGGGAACGTGACAACTAACCCAAGTTCTTTATAAAAAAAAAAAGGTAAATTATCGCAGCAGAAAATTAGACTAGATCCACAATAATATAAATATAAAGCAAGTTTGCTTGCATTGCTGTGGACTTACCCGGTGAGGACGACCACAAAGTCCATGACATTCCATCCATTCCTTAGATAGGAGCCCTTATGTAACGCAAACCCCAAAGCAAGGATCTTGATTCCAGACTCAAAACAGAAGATGGCTATAAAATAGGGCTCTGTCTCTTCCTAAAGGAGAGAAAGAAGGAAGATATTGAAAGTTAGGTTTGTGCACAAACATATTGTTCTGGTAAGGAGGGATAGATGGAAACGATTATTATCATTACAAATGTTAAACAATTGCATTTTAAAGAGTGAAAGAATTTTGAGAATAATGCACATGTTCATTATAAAACACAATACATCACAAGAAAAGAAAAAAATTAGTTGTAAAATAAATTAACACTGCACACAGCAATTTGATAAATCAATTTTATATGCAGTAAATAGCTGTAGCTGTGATCCTCTTTATAGATCGACATCATTGTCTCTCAGTGCTACCACATGTGTTCATTTATGCTCTTGTGATCATTTGAATGTCATGTCAAGTGCCTTGAGGTGACATGTGTTGTGAATTGGCGCTATATTAATAAAACTGAATTGAATTGAATGTGCTTCCATTCTCTATTATTATTATCTCTATTGTTTCTGTGTTTGCAGCTCTTTTAAGTTTAACTGCATACAATAATTGTGTGCAGAAGGGGTGTGTATGTAAATCACATGCATGTGCGGAGGTTGTTTTACCAGTCTTTCAGACAATGGCGTCTTGTCTCCATCAGGAAGGTGCTGTTCCAGGGCTAGGACAATGCAGTTTGCTATGATGGTGGTGAGGATCATCCATTCAAATGGAGTACAGCTGGAGTTAAGGGTAATATCACCAACAACAGAGGCAGATACAAACACACCCTAACCCTACATCTGCATGCACACTTAATGGTTCACTCTGCAAAAACAAAAAAAGCATATGCTTGTATGACAAAAAAAATAGACATATGGGCAGAAAGCTGGTTAATTTAAACTGTTTGGTCCTCATGTCCTTCATTGCATCAGGTCTCCAATCTCTCACCTGCAGTTCGCTTGTACTGGGGCTTAAATGCCACGTGCAGGTCATGTGACATAGTGATAACAAAAGAAACAAATTAAGAAAAAAAATATATATAAATAAGCAGCAGTGTGGTAAAAATGCCACGGCTAAAAAAATGCAGCACCCCAAAGTCTGGGTTTCCAACAGGAACAGAAAGGAAGGAGAAAGAGGAGAGAGGGAGAAGGCGTCCAATCCCACGACCCAGTTTTTCCCACCTTTCGTTTTTTTCAGAAAGGTTTGTTAACGTAATAGTTCAAATTATCGATAGATTATTAACCTGTTGATTAAAATAAGACAGCTATCTGCTGGGTACAACTACGTAGTCTTTCTTTCTTTTTCAATGTCAGAGGAGAATCACATCATTAATGATGCTGCTGTCTGAAATGGAGCATGATTGCAAGTTTTTTTTTTTATTTGGTTGAGTTTCGTTTTTAGTTTTCAAGAAAAAATAAACCAGGATTATTCTAGCATTTAACAAGCCTATTGTGTGTCTGTAAATAAGCCAGAAATGTCATAGAGCTGAGAATTTACCTTTATCAACCAGACCAGGCAACAGGAACACGCTGTAGTCCTCACATCAGCTAAACGCCAGTAGACGTTTAGCTCGATATGAATATTAAATAACTATCTTTGTCCCTCCATCATGTAAACAGATGCTCCATTTCTTCAACCCCCTTTTTCACATTCTGATCATTTTCCTTTGTAGAAATTTTACAATAAAAATTGCATTCAAAAAGTAAACGATACTCTTCAGTGCATCTTCATAGCAGTTTTAAAGATTGCATAAATATCAATATCAATACCTTTCATGGGCCCCCCCCGTTCCTGGCGGCCCCCCTGCGTATCGTACCGCACATGCCAATACATACCCCTATTAACATGTACTAACATGTATTAACATGTTCCGTAAAATACAAGATGCTAAAGCTAGGTTAAAATCTTTACTATAACTCTTAGCTCTATTTTTTATCTTATTTAATTAAGAAAAGCCAAATTGAGTCTTCACATGCAAAAACATTATGATATCACCGCTAAAGATATTTAATGATTGATCCCATTATGAAGAGAAAAAATATAAGAATCTGCCAGCTAGCGAGACATCTTCTGTTCAACAAAGTACAGAGCTTTGCTTCCAGCCAGATATAATACTTTAAAAACTCTTGCATCAATGCGATGCCACTGTCCCTGAACTATATCGGGCCGGTGGCTCAAAGAATCTGTCTGGCTTTCCCTGCTTCTGTACGGTGGTTCTTGTGGGGACCGACAACATCAGGACCAAACACTCTTGATAAACAAGAAAATATCTTTTTATGTATATTGATCCAATGAGACAAAATTATTGTCAAATCATTATCTTAGACTAGAGATATGAGGCACAATAATTTTTTTTTTAAATCAAAAATAAAAAATGTTTTTATCATCTTTAAAACAAAGGGAAAATCCACTGAAACCAGTCAGGTACAACAAGTGAGATTAGAATTATTACACAAAAATATACACTGACTCAGACAGGTCAGACTTATGTCACAAACAGCGTTTCAATGTACACCTTTCAGCAAAGTGTACATCGAGGTATTGTGTGCTATTCACATGTTTGTGTGTATTACCATATAACTGTGTGTGTTCATGCCTGAATAATGGCTGCTGGAGGGCCTACGATGACTGGATACATCCAGACAGATCAAGCATGTGCCTAATTGTCCGGTGATTATCCTGTTAGTCTGGATGTGTGTGTCTGTCTCCTTGCATGTTTGTCTGCCTATTTGAGGCAGGAGTACGTGTCTATTGTCGTGTTTACCAGATGCAACGTTGACAAAGACACTATGGCCGGAGGACGGACTGAGCAGGAGTTGGTGTATATTTGTGGGAGCAAGCAAGGAGTAAGAGGCTGGTTGATGTGAGAGGATGAGACAGGTTGGTCAGGGGAGTGCACACTAACAAGACAAGGCTGAACTGCATGGCACATGCTGGCTGGCAAAAGCAATGTACACACTTGTGCATGTGGGAAACACAGTGCTGAAAGCTGAAAAATGCCCAAATATCATGTTAATTTATCGCCAGTTACTGCAGGTTTTGCTGAGGGAATCTAAACTTTACACTATATTCCATTATTCTCCCACACATTCACATAATGATGGTGGTAAGCTTCATTGTAACAACAGGACCAAAAGTCCCTCTGATCGCCATTAGTAGGCAGTGAAATGCCTACTAATGGCGGTACACAGGCACAACTGGTTTTGAACCAGCAAACCTCCAGTTCCAGGACAATCTCCTGCATCCTACTGTTGCCCAGTGATAAAAATGTATAGTGCCATAGTGGTTCAATACCAAAATAATGTTTCATTTCATTTGTATAAATGATTCTACTCAAAATGACCAACTTTTGGTCCTAAATTAGTTACTGAATTGATAACTTTTCTCTGCACTCAAGAAGCAAATGTCTACCCTCCCAGTTAGAGACAACTCCTCCCGTGGCTTTAGAGCAACATACAAGCTGGCAACTCTGTCTGCATCTTTTTGAAAAAGAATTTAGTCAAAGTCCATATGATGCCGCTAGCATAAAAAGCACTGATAACTTTTGATACCCACTGTAAGTTAACCCGTCTGATCTCTTGGTTAATATTAATGAAACCTTTCCTCTATGCTCGCTTAGGACCCTGTCACACCTTGCCGATTAGGCCTGAATCTTCTAAAACGCTGGCATACGCTGAACTTTGGATGTATTTTTTCAATCTTGGGAATATACATAGCGTTATCATAACGAGTCCAGAACTTATGTCCAATGACAGCCTAACTTATGCATAACGCACGGCAGCGTATGCCCATGAAATGGTGCACAAGCCAGAGTCCTGGGGGGAGCAGCGATGCGCCCGGAGGAGCCCGACCTGCATAAAAAAAACGCATTAGAAAACGAGATGAACCTAACAACCGGCCACCAAAAAAACAACAAAAAAAAAGAAAAAAAAAAAAAAAAAAAAGAAAAAAAGCAACAAATCCAAAAAGATGCAACATAGCAACGAGGAAGGTCGTGGCCCTGAACCCAGAAAGCAGCCAGCACACACAACACCAACCTCAACCCACAACCGAGGATAAAGGATAAAGAAGAACAAAGAACATACGCCTGCAAACCCCAAACCACACCAAAAAACAAAAAAACAGTACACAAAAACTAAAAGAGAAAAACACGCACAACGAGACTCGAAAACACCAAAACATTGATATAAGTTGGTGATAAGTTAAACATAAGTTATTTACAAGTTACTCATATGTTTAAGATAAGCTAGACCTGATGACTTATGAGTAACTTACATCTAACTTATATCAACAAACAAGTAACTTACCTGGCCCACCTATGAGCATATGCTGGAAAACACCAGGTAAGTTATCTGATCGTTGACACAAGTCATATGTGTGCCAGCGTATTTCAGCATTCTTCAAAGTACCCATAACTTATCCAACATATGCCAGTATTTTTACTAGATTTGTTGTACAGTATGTCAGGCATACACTGGTCTAAATTGTCAAGGTGTGACAGGGGCTTAGCACTAGTTATTACATGTTTGTGTCCGTAACAACGTTTAACTGGATCAAAGGAATGAGTTGCTTTCGTAAGGTTCTGAGTTGTGCTAGTAATATTCAACAACTGCTCAATATATTGTCCTGAGTAACAACTTTCCCTTTTAGTGAACTAATATCAACACTCAGCTGGCTCTCTGGCTGAAGAGTAAAAACAGGGTATGATTATTATTGCCACCACCTGTTTTTTATGGTAACAGTTGCTGTCAACATATTTAGAGTTAACCAATAAGATTTTAATTTAGGTCGTTTAAGTTTAGTAAAGAACATTATAAATAAAGAGCTTTATAAGTAGTTGTCAATTAAGATTAGAGTTGCTCTCATAAGCTTTAAAGCTGCTCTCATAGGCTCTGTACAAGACTTAATTCATAAAGATTAGCAATTGAAAAGCACAAAAAAAATCTGTTGGCAGCCAAAATCAGACTACTTTAACCTTGATCAGGCAACTGTTCAGAAAACTAAAAACAAGAATCCAGTCACTTTCCAATGCAACACATTAACTGACACCAGTTTACTACTCTAAAAACACCCATTCTCCATGTCACTAAATGATAGAAATTGTCTACTTTTAGTACATGAGAGATGTTTAAAATAATATAATAATATCTGAGAAGCTTTTTTTAAAGGGTACAGTATCTACCCAAATTTCAGGCTGTGAGAAAGCAAGAGAGAGCAAGACTTTTTTAAGCTTTAAGCTGTTTACTTGTAGATTAAGAAATGTTTGCAGCTTTTGCAAAATGCAAGAGTTTAAGTCAGAAATACATTTTCATATATACAAATAGAAATGCAGAAATTATCATTATTGTTTTTTTGGCAGATAGGACCCAAACTACACTATTGATTATTAGGACATACTAAAGGTTGATAAAAATGATTACCTTTAAAATAAAATAGATTTAAAAAAAAGTAAAAGCCTGTTTTACAGCAACTGATCTCTTACACACCCTTGTACATTGCCTCTGCTCCTAACGTAAATAATTAATGATCGCTCATTGCAGGAAGCATAGAAAAAAAATTCTCGAAGCTTTTCTTTTATCTACTTATATCATAGTTCTTAAGAAGACATCTGAATCAGTTAGAATCAGTATTTGGTAAAAGTTTTACAAAACACTGAACATATCTCTACTTCAAAATTCAACTTAGAAATTCTAAATTTGTAAATGCTAAATCTTGCAAATAAAATCCCTGCC